CATTCCTAAAGCATGGCACAGTTAAATTGGTTTGTCAGGACATAATCTTTGTGCTGTGCAAATGTGTGTATTTGTGGTTTACTGAGGAACTTGAATTGCTTTGTGCTTTCCCTCTGTCGTCTTTGTACTTATCCTTTCCTCCTGTCTTTCTGCAGTCCATTTTCTCAAGCGAGGAGTTTGGGTTTTTTCCACTTACTGGTGGAAATAAACAATTTAGGGCCAAGAGATAGACCTGTAGGAAAGCATATTTTTCGTGACTTCCTGTTCACAATTCCCAGTAAGAGATCTGTTGGCTTTTTTTATCCATTTAATGTGTGCCCTGTTAATTTTGTTTTAGTCAATTAATACAGTACCAAATCAAGTCCTTTAGAGAAGACCAAGTATATCAACGTTGATTTAATGGCATTCTTAAAATTTATAGGTCAACTTGTAATCTCATCAAGAAGATTGTCAGTTCAGTTTGACAGAATCTATTTTCCATAGACTTAATTTGATTGACATTGATTTTATTACCCCTCACTAATTCTTTAATAATAAAGTCCAATATTGAATATTCTGTAAATTTGCCTTGCTCACCATTAGACTGCTGAACCTGTAAGTACTTGGGCTGTCCAGTCCTCCCTCTGAATTCCAGTGCAAACATTTTTCCTCCAGGCTGCTGGAATTTGTTGATCACAAAAGAGAGTCATTAGCCCTTTTTTTGGAGTCTGTTTTCTGTAAGTAATCCAGATAATTTCATTTAAACATATGTAACTTCAGGAGCTCCTGTTTAGCATTCACCAGGGTATATCTTCACATACTTCTTCAGGTGTACATAATACCTCGTCTCTGTACTGCTACTATTGGTATCTCCTGGTGAGTCAGGATGAGTGTTAAGGGATCTTTTTTCTGCAACTTAAAAAAAATTATTTTGTTATTCCAACCTTTACTAGCCACAGGGGTTTTATGCCCTTTTTTTATCGGTTTTCTGTGACATTTCTGTTCTAACTTACAGGGTTTTTTTAATGTGTTTTCCCTTTACCTCTTAATATAAATATAGAATTGGACAATGCAGGCTGGCTTACAGAGAAAGTAGAAGAAGGTGCAGGTCTTTGACACTGCCTTTTTCACAGTCGCAAGTTTTTGGATGTATGGATAAAAATGATACAGGGTGAATTGATCTTTTTTTTTTCCCTGTCATCGTTCTCATTACTTGTTTTAAGTGTAATTTTCAGCTCTGAAATTTAACTTTCTCAAATGTGGAACATGTGCATTTCCAGCTTGGGCTTGGCTTTGTCTGTTTTGTTTGGGGTTTTTTTTAGGACTGTCAAGTCCTTGATAACTTCTAACCCTGTTACTGCTCATTTTTAGACCTATTCCTTACCAGATTCTTGGAGGTCCACTATACATTTTCTGCTGCTAGAGAAAACATTCGGAAAGAGCAGTGGGAACAGCAAGATAACAAGGTGTTGTTTTAGGATCATCTAGAAATATCTCTTGCCTGACCTCCTGAATCACAGCATGTGATGAACTATTGGATTCCAAATCACAGAAAATATTTACTATTTACAGTGCTGTTCCTGGGAAGTGTAGCATGGGAATGAACTACAGTGTCTGTGTGGGATCCCACTGAGAGGTCCAGCTGCTTGCTTTGTGCTGCCAGATTGTGTCCAAAGAAGTGTTACCCTTTTGGAGTAATGCAGGAAGAGCACATGATGAAGAAAATAGGGAAGTTCATACTGTTTACTGTATTCTGGAACAAATCCTTTCCTTTCTTCACCTGTTACAGTTTTTAGTTCTTTCCTATCTGGAGTCTGTTTTATCTGACATAAGGTACATTGCTCTTGAGAGGAATTTGAAACTCATGGTTTTAGCTGCATGTATAAATTTTTTTGGCTTCTTAACTGTAAATGTTTAGCACAGTAAAACTTTATGATGTTTTCCACAGTCATCATAAAGCTTCTCACAGACAAAAAACTGATCTGAGATTTTATTTTTCAGTTTTTTGACACTGGAGCGTTTGTGTCACTTTTCAAACACATGATTATATTTAGTCGAGATGGTTGAAAATACAAAGTAACCAAAAAAAATACACCCCTGAAGTGGAAAGCTCTAAATAGGAAGTTTTTCTTCCCTTCAGCTTCACTGGTAGAGTAAGGTCTATGCCAGGACGCAGCAGAAGGAATTTGCTGATGGAAACAACTGCACTGAGCTTTCAATGGGCTGTGAAGGGTGTGGAGTTTGAGAGGTTTTAAGATAAAAGGGGTATTCATTGAATTAACAGAAATTCAGTGCTCAAAATTCTGAGCATTCACCCTTTTTTGTGAGACTACAGTACAGCTAATATAGCAATCAGTGGGATATGAATTCATAACCAAATGCTTCTGAGTAACAGGCCTGCAGCCCTGTTAAAAATCTCATCTATTTTTTGACGTCCAGGAGCATGCACACTAACAAAAAGAAATCGTGTTTCTTCACACCTGTTATTTGAAAGAAGACTGGTATGACAGTGTAGTAGTTTTCATTAAGCCAGGTTCTCCAGTCCTGCATGCAGACAAGACCAACTTTATTTGTTTTGGTATTTGTTATCCTTCACCTTAGAGAAAACATTTATACATTGTCACTTGGTAGTGAGAATGAGATGATGGTATCCAAATAACTAAAATGTTGCTGGGGGACTCAAAAATAAGGTTGTGTAATTGTGAACTCATTATTTTCTTGTATTGCCATTGATTTCACTTTTCCTACTGCTAGTGCAGTGGGTGTGCTGTCCATGGTCTCGCTTGTGTAAGTGCTTACAGAAGTGAGAATGTCTCTATGGGAGATTGTTGAAAAGTAGTGTATACATTGTAGAGGTTGGTCAGTCTGTGTGCCTTGAGAATAGTGGTGGCTAGACATGGGAGCCCAGGATCAGACATTGGACATAAATCCCAATCTCATATCAGCTACTCCTGCCCTGTGTACTTCTGAAGTCCAGAGACGATTAACAGAGAAAGGATGTTAACAAACACAGGTTATCCAGGCTCTGGTCCTTGTGTCTCCTTCCCCCCTTAAAAAGATGTTTGTTTCCTAGATAATGTCTTTCCTCTCCCTAGGATTGTTTAGGATTAAATGTATCAAAGATTTGATGTGTTCAGAGGCACAGGGATTGGGGCTGTATAAAATACCTCAGGTAGGCAAGCAGAAGAAGGCATGGCAGGGAAAGTATCTTTGTTTTGGCTCCAGGCTTTGTGCTCAGCCGGACTTCAGGTCATTCTTGGTTAATGTCATGTAACTTGGGTAAGAATAGTTTTGCTGAGATTAGTTCAGCTCTCCAGGAAGACTGAGTATGTTTTTTATACTGTTTTCTGGAGTTAAATTGATGGGATGGAATTGCTCCCTGGCTGTATTGTATGTTAAAACAGCCATTTCTTCTCCTTCGCCTGCATGTGGGCATTTCAGGCATGAACGGCAGTGTTTCCATGGATTTTTAAAGTCTTCCATTGCATAGTTAGCAGCTTTTAGGGCTTTGATCTGATTTTGTAAGACAGAAGCGCTCCCTGTATTTGTGTTACAGCAAACGCTGTATTTTTGGTGGTGTCTGACTTTGAGAAACACACAGATGCTTTTTTGTAGTCCAGGAGACAAAGAAACAAAGCTTTGTGCTGGGAGGCAGGATCTGTGCCTCCAGGGGACATCAAGGCACTTGGTGTGCAGCTGCCTTCCCAACCTCCCCTTCCTCCTGGTGAGCAGGAGCTGGGTCGCTGCTTGCTGCTCCCGTGGCTAGAAATCTCCACAAATGCTGCTCCTCTCCTTGGGAGGCATTTTCACATGTTTCCTTTCTCACTGCCTGTGAGCAGGAGCATTTTGATTCCCTGCACATCAGTGCCGAGGGACAGGTGGTTTTGTGGCTTGCTGTGCTCCAGATAGACAGAAGGGTGTATGAGAGGGAGCCTGACAGGATGGTTCACCTGCCTGCTTAGGCTCACTGATTCTTGAAATGTGATTATCTGTGTGTTCATGATTATATGTTCTGAGTTCATGTGCCTAAAAAAAAAAAAAAAAGCTGTGTTTTCCAAACATGCAAAACAAATTCAAGTAGGATGCTCGAAGGAAGGGATCTGGAAGCGGCTGTCTGTCACGTTGCATTAATAGAATTGGTGCTGCAAAGCTGCTGCTCGGGAGCTGGGAGAAGATCCCTGAGGAGTGGGTTCTCCCAGCTCTGTGCAGCCCTGTGTGTGTCCATGATCCCTGCAGTGCCCACAGCTCGGCCTCTCCAGCCCTGTGTCACTGACCCCAGTTATTAACCGGGTCTGTCCTGCTGCAAGCACACACACAGATCTGGCTGGGCAAGCAGAAGCTGTTGAAAGGCTTTTGGCTGCTGAAGTGGGCTCCTGCCATCCCGTGCACAGCAGCAGTTGTTGCACTGTTTGGGTTTGCTGTCATCTCAAATGCTCCGAGGGGAGCTCTAACACGGTTCCTCGCCCGCCTGCAATTTGGCCTGTCCCTTCTTCTATTTACTGGCTGCTCACTGAGCAGTAAAAAGAGATGTAAAGGTGGTTTTCTGTTCCTCAGCTCCTTCAAGTTTAGTGTAAAAATGCAGTTTCCTAATTTTGCGGTTTAAATACTTCAAGACTTGTTTATAAACAGCAGCAAAATTATATGTGTGTGTTTATTTAAGAGGTGGCCTTGTTACTGGCAGGTCAGGCAGTTATATTTATTAGGAGCTCAGCACAAAACTATTACACAGTTCTGTTGCTGTCAAGCCTCTTGCATGCTTTGCAGTAAACTCCTGGGGAAGGCAGGGTGAGGGGTTGCTGCTTCTCGTTCTTACAGAAGGATCTTCAGAGCAGCAGTTTAAAGTTATGATGGCTCCCCCTGTATTAAGGAGATAAAGAAATGGTGAAAATAGCATAGAGACTGTAAGGGAAAGCAAGGATGGAATAAGCAGTGTAAGAAAATTGTGCTTCCACTCTTGGAAGTCGTTCCTGTGCTGAAAAATACTGAGTCTTTTTTTCTTTTATTTTTTTGTGTTTCAACAGGGCAGAGTTTAGGGTATGGATTCGTTAACTACATTGATCCAAAGGATGCAGAGAAAGCCATTAACACTTTAAATGGACTCAGACTCCAGACCAAAACCATAAAGGTAAGACAATATAAAATGTCTTTTGCTCAATTCAGGAACGGGAGAAAGTAGTTGGAACTGTTTCTGGCAATTTCATCACTATTTTATTCTCCATTGTAAGGGGGTTAACGAGCTCCTCCTTGGAACAATGAGCGGACATGCAGAAGATGAAATCTCTCTTCTCCGAAATTGCTGCTATTGTTAAAAAGAGGGGAAAGTAACAGGAAGCTTTTTAAAGCATGACAGTGAGGTTTAAATGTAGAATAGAACAGCCAGAGTGATACCATTATCCATAAACAGGTGAAGTACGTGATGGTGTATTCACAAGATACAGGTTTCTTTATGTTTTCTTGGGAAATACTTTGTCACAGAGTTCTCCTTTAGTGACACTCCTGTCATTATCAGGTGTTGAAAGCATGTTTCTCAAAAGTTAGAATATGTTATTCTCGAAAAAAAAAAAAATCTCAATTTCCACATCCTTAATTTTATTTATTCTTTTAAAAGCTGGAGGCTTCCCACCGAAGTCTCTTTATTCCATTGTTTGTAATAGACCATTAGTGATTCAATGACCTTCTTAAGTGGTCTCACAAGAAAAGCAAGCTTCTGCACTGTCAGTTTTTGCTGCATGGCTGAAAAAGCTGTTATGGAACAGCTTACAGAAGATTTCCACATCCCAAATTCTGACAAATAATACAGCTTAAGGGATGTGAATCAAAAAATTGAAGAGGAGCAAACAGCAGATCAGATTCAAATTATCCGAAACTGCTTTGATCATTTTTTTTGAATGCTGGCTTTTGATTTGCACCATTTTCTTAATTTTTCTTCTGTAGATAATTTGTATTTCAAAGCTAAAAGTGTTAATATAAAAATAGAATTTTTACTGTACTGAATATTGGTACAAGTAATGTCAGTGATGTTGTATCTTGCAAAAAAAGGTACGATGTAATGTGGCCAATACTGTAGGTTTTGGCAGTCTGGCTAAAGATTATAGTTTAGACAAAGTGGTATTCCCTGAAGCAAAAATAATTCTTGGATTCTGGTATATTTCTGAGGATTGTGTCAAGCAAGTTTTTCCCCTGATGTTTGATCAGTGAAGAGCAGAAGTGCTGAGCTGAGGGTTATGAAAGTGGTGGAGCAGCTGCATGGATTTCATAGAAAAGGCTGCTTCCAAACCTCCCTCAGACCATCCAGATTCCATCCCACAGATAGGCATGTGGGCCATACATCAAAATGCTCACAGCATGGTTTTGAAGAGCTAATGGAAACACTTAGAGGAATATGTAAGGCAAGGCAGCAAAATCTACCATCTTATCAACTGCTGCAGGTGGAACTGCAGGCTTGGACTCAGCAGTTTCCACTTACAGTGAAAAGTTGCTCTCCAAATTGCTTTTAAAGGCACATTATCAGGAAAAAATATTTTGAAAATACTTTTTAAAAACTCAGTAGAACTTGAAGAATCTAGATCAGTTTTTCATGCAGCACATGTATATTTTGAACATTATTCAGCCGCAGGAAAAAACTGGCTTTCTTGTCCCCGAGTACCTCTGTTGCTTTGCCTCTGTTTTTCTTTTTTGTGAACCAGAGCAATGCTATTACATTCATAATATTTCAAGGTTACAGGAAACTCATGTGGTAAAAGGCCTCCAGAAACTGGAACCCACACCAGTGATTATTATATATTTCTCATGTGCAAAATTAAACCATTATGCCTTTTTTTAGCCTCTTAGTAAGACTTTTGTTATCTGGGAACTTCCTATGTAAAATCTTACTCATGGTATGTTTTTTTTAATTCAGTATAAATTTTAGAAATTCAGTAATTTGTTTGTTTTGGTGTTTTCATGTTTATTAATAGCTCATAGACTAGCATAGAATAAAAGGACATTTGGGGGGTTCTTAAAGCTGTTAAAATTTAATAATAAACAAAGAGATTTATCTAATCTACATGCACAGGAGCTGCATAAGTTCTTCTATGACTGGGAGGAAGCATAGCATTTGGGTTTTTTTAAATAAAGTTGGGTTTATGCAATTGCCTAAAACCAACCCAAGGGAGCCTTCTATTCCAACAGCCAAAGTTTTGGCCTCAGGGACATCTAATCAGTGGTTTCCAACCCAAATTTTCATTGCAGAATTGCATGTGATTACCTTACCTTTACCTCCTTGGTTTTTTTTTTGTATTTTTAATTATGTGGCACTTCTGGAAATTCTGATAAATTCGGTCTGCTTTCACTAGTACTCTGCAGTGGGGATGGAGCTTTCCCAGTGTTCATGCTGAAGGATAAATCAGGTGTATTTGGTGCTGCCAGTGGCATTTGTGTTGCTGGAGAAATTTCTGGTTTCCCAAGGGTTTCAAGGTGATGATGAGGAACAGGACTCAGCGTTGCTGAACCTCCTCACTTGCCCATTGCCCCCACATACTGATTTAAAGCATCTCACTGAGATCCTGTGTAAGGCTGAAGTATTTAAACTTGTTGGAAATACTATATTTAATTATCAGACCCAATTACTTTAGCTACAGATGCCCTTTACAGTTACTAAAAATGCACCATTGCTGCATTAAAAAACCTCCCCCAAGAGAACATCTCGAAAGGAATTTGGTGGCATATAGTTTTGTAGACTAAAAAATATTTAGTAGAACAACATGGAGCTGGAAGAGCACTGAACATTACTTCTGATTTCTTCATGAATGTGGCTGAGTTTTTTGCTTCAGACAATCTGTAAATACCTTATTGATGGATGGGCTGAACCTTGGCCCCTGTCCATGTGTGTTGGGTAGCTGCAGTCCTCCAGGTAGAATTTCTCTGGCTGTCTTTTGGAAGCTGTTTTGATGGAAGGAAAGTTGAAATGAGTAATCTGTGAGAGCCCTTTTACAGTGGCAAATTACTTCTGCTTGCCAAGGTCACTGTGGTCCTGCTGGCTTTGTCCCATCTGTGTTGTGGGTGCTGCTGTTCCTTGCACCTAGACTGAACATGAGGTGGCTCTGGGGAGTTGTATTTGCACTCATTTTTTGACCCCACAAGGCTTAATTCCTGTTTAAAACTAATGTATGTATTTTATGCATGTGGCCTGAGATGCTGTCCTTTTCACTTCTGTAACATTTTTGTGGCAGCTTAATGTTCTCTCTCTCTTGATGCCTTGCAAAACAGCCATGCAGTCACAGAAGGAACTGGCTTAATAGCAGGATCAGCAGAACAGCCAGGCACAGTCGGCTCTGATGTGTGGACTAAAATAACTGAAGAAATGTTCTTTTTATTCTGTCATTGTTATGATAAATAATCCCTTTTCACTCTAGCAGCTAAAATATTTATGTGCATTTTATTTAAGTCAATGATGCCCTTTCAAGTCAAAGTTGAGAGGTGACGATTTACAGAATATCTGCTGGGAAAAAGCATTGGAGGGAATGTTGTGTTTGGTGGTAATAGGTTATACACATTTTGTTCCTCCTCAGCTGATCATAGTGCATATTTTATTTACGCCATTTCATAGCGGCATCATCTTGTGAGAGAGAAAAGCTTCACTTTATTTTTACAGCTAAAGCTTGACATAATTCTGCAAAACAGTTTAGAAGTGAGGGAAGAGACAGTGTGTGTTGAAATAAATATATATTCCAAAAATTGAATCTATTTTTAGAAATTAAATTTGCCCATCCATAAAAGCATATGAAAGGTCACTGCTGCTGTTGAAGATTGCCTGGCAATTCAGTTGCATCAAATATCAGAAGGAAAATAAGATGTGTGATGCATGGGGTACAGATTGTTTAAACTGCTGCTTTGCCCTGAAAAAAGGACAACGCCTGAAAGGATGCGAAGGAAGTGTTTTACAATTTACTTGGGGATTCAGGTGACCTGGCTTCATTGGAACAAGGGCAGAACAGTTTTGAAAGGAAGCTTGAAATCTAAAAAGAGCCAGTGACCTCCTAAAGTGCAGTCTTGTGCACCCCTCTCTCTCTTCCTTTTTCTCTGTTGCCTGAGAAATAGGTTTGCTTCTTCCTTCCCTCACAGGAGCAGGTACATGCTGTGACACTGCTGGAGGAAAGGGAGATGTCCCCAGAAGGGAAGAAGGAATCTGGGTTCTCTGAGCCCTTGATAACCTCCAGTTTTTAAATCCATCATATCTATCCAATGGTAAAACCCCAAATGGATAAGATGATTCCTCTGTGCTCAGAGGCGTTTTCTAGTTACTTTAATTTTCAGTTAAATTTAATGAATATCATGAAATTTTGTATTTCTGCTTTACTCTCCTGTTTTGATCAGTAGGTCTGGATGGTCCTAGTTTAAAATACAGTAAATTAAGGCTGTGGGAGAAGGTAATGCTGCTTTTTTCTGAAAATAAAGTAGTAACATTACTGCTGAAAGATCTTCCTATTTATCTTGGTTTCTGTGGCATTTTTCAAAATGCCAGCTATTTCCACAAAACTCAGGCTCTAAATCTGTCCATGTTAATTCTTGTAATTGTCCACAAAACTACAAACCATCCTGTCACTGTAGGGTAACCAAATAACAGCAGCCTGAGACTTTTCTGTCCTACAAAGTCATTTGTCAAAATGATTGCCTTCCAGCCGTGCTCGGCGGAGGAGGAATTGCAGCAGGGAGTGCTGGGGAAGAGACTGCATCTCCTGCACCCCATCCTAGACTCCTTGGGAGGTGTGGGGGGAGCTGAACACAGTTTTGGTGGCAGCCAAGAAGTGCTGGGTTGCTGACAGGGTTGGTAGCAGAGCTGTGGTGTTGGGTGCCTTTGGTGCAGTGCTTGGACAAAACCCAGGGTTTTCCACAGTCTGCCCAGGGCACTGCCTGCAGCCTCCTGTCCCTTGGAAGAAATGGGATGTTGTGCAAGCTGGGTGGTAAGGAGAGGGTGTACAGAGAGATCAGGGCAAGGCACAGGAAAACTTAGATGCTCTTCGAGGAGGAAGAGATGGGAAAGTGCAGGGGTAGCTGCGTATGTTGGACTGCAGCAAGGAGGGATTTGTGTTGAGTGTCTTGTGTGCAGTTGCATTGCGCCCCCTTTTTTCCCCCTTTCCTGAAAATTCACATTACAGGCACAAACTGCAGATTTGGGATGTAGCTATTTTATAGCTTCATTTGAAATTAACTGCTTGTTCTCTTTTATGGTAGCTCACAGTTAGTCAAAGAGGGGTTGCCTGCTGTGGCTGCTGCTCCCCAGGACAAAGTCTTGGACCAGAAACTTTAAAGATGCCAAAGACCTGGAAAGCCTCAACTAAGTTGACTCCTGTTTGCTCTTTAGGAGCCTCTGTCAGTGTAACCCTTTGGACTTTACAGAGCTTGTTAACAAACCATCCTCTACTCTTTTTGCCTGCAGTGATACTGGTGCTCAGAGGACCTTTCAGTGCTGCATTTGAAGACTCAGCTTTGGTTCTGCTGCTTTCAGCAGGTACCAGAGGGTCTCTGCCTCTTAATTTCATGCATCTTCTCTTAATCACAATTTCTCTTTTTACTGCCTCGATTTTGCCAGTGAGTCCTTTTCACTCCACAGAGCCAGAGCAATTATTTCCTTTAGCCTTGCTCTTGACACAGCCAAGAGTGTTCCTGGTTTATTATCCATGGATGTCTTTTTTGAAATGATGGGATAGACCATTGTACCTGCAATTATAATTAATCTCTGTAAAATGGCATTGAATCGCTCAACAGTCAAGTGCATTGTCACTCCCCTCCATCCTCCAGCCAAGGGCTTAGGGAAGAGGAAGGACAGAGCAGTGAAAGTATTTCAGATCCTGGTCTTCAGCCTCTGGACCAGAGGGCTTTTGTGTTTGCTTGTTCTGACAAAGCACAGAGCTTTCACAGGAGGTTGTCTCAAATCTGGTTTTGCACAAAATGAGGACACAGTTGAGCGTTTAGAAGTGGCTGTGGGGAAATGTCTCTTTCTGCCATAGCCCGTTCACTGGTGCTAAGCAGATTTTACTTCTAGTTTTGGATGTGCATTAAACAAGTGAGATTGTGCTTTATTTACATGTGTGAGGCTTTTGAGTGGTTGTGTTAAAGCTCTTCCAGTTTGTACCAGTGGGATAAGGGGCAGCAACTGAGGGAAGGGTTGTCCCTATTTTAAACTGGGCTTCAGGCAGAAAAATCCCAAGTGACTCACCCCAAAAAATTGTACAAGAAATCCTGTATTTCAGAGTTAGAAAAAGACAAAGCAAAGTCTCTGTATTAAGGTCACCAAAAAGTCTGGTATTCTTGAATGTTGCACAAACTTTTTGAAACCCCAGGGAGTCACTTAACACTGACTGTCCCTTAGCTGCTTGTGGCTGGAGAGGTGTCCTGGGGACTGCAGGTGCCCTGGGTGGGTGCCTTGGGTGCCAGTGCTGCACCCTGATTCAAGGCTCCTATGTGCTTTCCCATTCCCCAGGTGAGGAATGGTAGATGCAGAGCAAGATACATCTCTGAGAAGGTTGGCATCTGCAAAATTAGCTGCTTGGTTGCTGCTCAGATGTGTCCAGGGCAGCGTGGCTATGCTGGCACCGTGTATCATTCCAGGAAAGGATGATATAGTTCCTCTTCAGAGCAGACCAGAGTTTAATTTTACAAGGAGGCTTCTAGAAATGGACTTAGATGTTTGAGAAGTCCAGGGTTAGCACAGGAGTTGCCCAGGAAGGCATCTCTTACAGGGAGCAGCAGCAAAGTGGTTAAGTGGCAGAGTTCAAATGGCTGCTGCTGCTTGTTCCATAAGACAAATGGGATGCATTCATGCCTCTGGGTGCCTTTGCTGTGGGCTCTGGCTTGGGAAGGCCAAACCGATTCAATTTATGTTCTGAAGAGTCTCGAGGTTAGTAATTCTTCAAAAAGTTTTCTATATGGGAAAGCAGGTAGGAAATCAATAGGGAAGATAATTACTTTGAGATATTTTCTGTGCACCTGAAGAAAAATGTGCTTTGCCATGGAAGATATGAAATGCTGGACCTTGTGATGCTGCAGTGGTGTTGGGAAACAGTGGTGCAGCCTCTGGAGATGGCTTTTTATTATGAAGAGAAGCCCTTAACACAGGCTAATGGTTAATGTCAGATGAGAAATGTCCTATTAAATGTTTTTCATAGTTATTATATATGTATTTATAGAAACGAACATCTGAGGCCAGCAAGCCATTGAATGAATTGTACAATATTTTATTATCTTCTTGCAAATTCGACCGCAGAACTCCGAAATGATCTTATGCAGTGAAATCCAGCGCCACGGTTCGTCCTTCAACCGTTGTACGAGCGGACAAACATTTTAATGCTGAGAGATTCCTGGGTCAAACAGTAGCTTGGTGTTCTCTAGCTCATTATGTGAATTCCTTGTGGTGGCTAGGATTCCATACTCTTTTCTATTTCAACGCTCTGTTTTATTACAGGGTGCTAACACTGCCGTAAGCAAAGGGGAAAAAAAATTATTTTTGAGTGTGAATATAAAGAATTAATGCAGCGTCCTCACGCAGCGCTTTGCGGTTTGCAGGGATAAAATGGGAGCTGGTTTTTCTCCCATTTTAACTCGCACAGCATAAGGAGCTTCTGGTGTGATGGAGGGTCAGGGTGGGCGATTTCTTCCTTTGATAGCTCACACATGGGAAGACATCCCATCCTCAGCACTAACTGAATAATAGCTTGAAAGCAGGATGGCACACTCTAACTGATCGATTTGTCATTGGCTGACCTCAGAGGGAAGATGAAAAAGATTCAAAAGCAGATAAATAATTGACATTACCAGCCTTGAGTCCATTCAGCTCCGCAACCTTTTCTCCTTGATATTAAAGACGGCTGAGTTGCTTTTGGCAGCTTCTTTCTTTGGCTCAGGCTCCCCTGCAGCCTGAATGTTTGATTGCAGGAGGAAATAAAAACTAGACCTGAGCAGCGATAGGTGTTCACATGTGCAGTGAGTGGAGGGTTGGGAGTGTGAGCAGCCTCCTTCCTCTGCCTGCCTGCAAGGCCCACGAGAGCAGCGAGCCTTCTGTAAGTAGAAGTGTATATATATAAAATGTCAGGCACTCATTGCTCTGGGAAGTAGTGTTTTTTGCATATCCCAGTACTTTTCATCTTCCCTGTAACGTGGCATTTGGTTAATGAATGTGCCAGAGTGAGAAACCCAAAGGAAACCCCTGGCTGTTTGCCCGGGAACTTTTATTCATTTTGCTGTTCTCAGTTTTGAGGAATAGGTAAGATCCCTACCCTCACTCCAGAGAGGCTCTTAAATGTTTTTTAAGCTGTTATTCCTAAAGTAGGTTAAACTGTAGGTGCCTTAGAGTGCCCTCTCAAGGTGAGGCGTTTGCAGAGTGGGGAGGGAGAATCTGCTTTTCCAAGTGCCCCAGCACCAAACCAAGCTGTAGGTGAAGGCACCATGTGATTATCCCTGGTGTCCCCTAGGGTCTGGATTGAGCCTTGTTACATAAAAGCCAAGTGGTGCCATCCATATGTGTTCTGGTCCTGGATCCATCAGAGGGGCATTCAGGACCAGCAGGGAAGCGGTGGAAATGCTGCAGCCCGTCAGAAACTCGTGGGCTGTGGCACGAAATAATTTCTACCCCAATATCCTTCTTTCAGTACCTGAAGGTTTCTCTGCTCCTCATGTTTTGCTTGAGCCTTTGTGCTGTGTGCCTGAGCTTGCCTCTATTGATGCAAATGTTTTAACTAATCTCTATTTCATATTTATTTCCCTGAATTTTCCACCTCCTCTCCCCAGCCTTCTCTGTAAATGTTAGATTTAAAAGGTTATGGACAAACATGTAAGTTATAAAGAAATTGCCAAAAACCTTAAAATCTAGAATCCTTAGAGTTTGTCTGCTATTATGCAGAGAAGATTTAGGAAGCAAATATTAGTCATTAACATAATTTTTCGGTGTTGAGTCAACATCTATTTTTAGGCGTGGAGTGCATAAAGACAACTCTTTGACACATAAAACACATAGACATTCACTTGACATCATCTGTGTTCAGGCTGAGGCTCAGGAAGAGGGGAAGACAATTGCTGAATGTATTGTGTTTGTGATGGAAACCCCCCCACTTCCTTCCTCGACACATTTTAAGACATAATGCAAGAGAGTTCTGATCTGTTTGTATTGAAATAAATCAAAATGAAGTGCAGAATGTTCAGCTTGGGTTCCAGTGCTTTTTCAGATGTGCTGCAAAGTAATTCATGATCTGTGCTGAATATTTGCCATTAGGCTTTATCCAAGAAGTGTGTTTATTATGTTAAATGTGTTTATTCTAAATGTATATATTATTTTTAAAGTGCAGAAGGCTTTTTATGCACCTGTTATAATTATAAATCTGATTCATAGGTAGAAAAGCAGTTAAGAGGCTTGAATTAGTAATTTTCCAACAGCACACATGCAGTGCCACAGCTAGATTTTCTTGTTTACTTGGTCATAATATTTTATGGTCTGGTTCTGGGCTTTATAATGCACGGGAACTTCTTGTGATAAATTGCAGATCCGACAATGAGTGTCAGACTACAGCTCCCTGAGCAGATGTTCATTTAGTCTAATTTCACCAGTACTTTACTGTTCATCCAGAACAGATCTTGCCAGCTCAGGATGCAAACACAAAGAGAGGGAGCACAAAAGATCACTCTGCAAATAACCTGATCTGTTTCAGACACTTGGAGGGGAAAAAGAAAAACATGCAGGAATTTCAGCGTGCGGGGCTGGCTACGGCAAATCATCCACACACCCACACCCGTGGGGGCAAATTTACAGAGCCGTGCGTGGGAAGGTGCACATTAATCCACCTCTGAACAATGGTTATTTTATCATTGCACTTCAGTGTCTGTTTTAAGGTCTCTGCAGCTCTTCCTTTGTTCCTCCAGTCTTTCCTGGCTCTGCTGGTTTCACAGAGCAGGTCCTGTCTGAACTGCAGGGTTGTGTCTTGTGAAAGAGCAGAACATTATCTGTCCAAAATGCCAAGGGTGGCTGTAGCTCACTAACACTGCTCTCCTTTTCTCTCCCTAGGTGTCATATGCCCGTCCAAGTTCAGCATCCATCCGGGATGCAAACTTGTATGTCAGCGGCCTTCCCAAAACCATGACCCAGAAAGAATTAGAGCAGTTATTCTCACAATATGGGCGCATCATCACCTCACGGATTCTGGTTGATCAAGTCACAGGTTAAAAGAAAACTTTTCTTGATACGTGCATGGTTTTTTTGGAAGTGACAAAATTGCAAATGTCTGCAGCTGGGTTTTTTTTGACTTCTAGTGTAAAATGCTTATAAATGTAACTAGAGGTATAACTGCTACCTCTTTAATGAGGGACTATCCAAATACAGAATATTATTTACTTAAAATATTGGGATTGGGAAGAGGATTTTTCTTTACAGGACTTTCCTTAATTTGCAAGCCACCTATTGTGTGAAGTCGAACCCAACATTCAGTTTGTTCGTTGCATAAATGAGGCTGTTCCTACGAATATTCATCTCTTTGCATGTTTTTACTTCCCAGGGGTTTCTCGAGGTGTGGGATTTATCCGTTTTGATAAGAGAATAGAGGCAGAAGAAGCCATAAAGGGACTAAATGGCCAGAAGCCTAGTGGTGCTACAGAACCAATTACTGTGAAGTTTGCCAATAACCCCAGCCAGAAAACAAGCCAGGCACTCCTTTCACAGCTGTATCAGTCTCCCAACAGACGCTACCCTGGACCACTTCACCACCAGGCTCAGAGATTCAGGTAATTACCTGGAAAAGAACTGAGTTCCACCAGCGACAACAGTGTGGGGCAGGTGCTGTGCAGGAAAAATATGCTTTAGTTGCGTAGGCTGACCTGATTTTGTTTGTAAAATTAAATATTCTTTCCTGGAGAATGAGGAGGAAAATCTGCTGACAGCAGTAGTCATGTTGTATTTACTAAAACAGCTGAAGTACTGTACGATCAGATCTCATGAAGGCTCATAGAAAAAGGAAGGACAGAATAGAGTTACTCTGGTAATCAAATGAGCAGTGACTGTCCTGTTCTTTCTCTCTTTTTGGGTAATGCTTTTATTTTCTGCTATATTACTACAGTTTTGATGCAGCTTAGACTTTGATGTTAATGACAGTGGATTGGTAGCAGGAAAAAAGCTGAGTCTGTCCCAGTCAGCAGGAGTATCATTAAATTTATTAGCCTGAGATATCTGCTCTTAGTATAAAGAGCCCTTGTATTAGTCTTTGGTGTGAGTCTTCAGATGCTTTTGGGGATGTTTTATGCTTTGCATTCTGAATACACTGTTTCCATCTGATGCATAAGGCAGCGTTAGCAATATGTGATGTTCCTATTACTTTCATACTTAATAGTTCTCAGGCAACCCAGCTTTCAAATAAAAAAGTCTGCCTTCAAGAAAGAAAGCTTGGACATATTTGCATAACTGAGTTGCACACTGGCTTTAGAAAATTATTCAGAAGTAATTTTAGTTTGTCAGTGATGAAAAGTGTTAATGAATTAAAGATCATAAAAAGTCATTGGATACATTAAATTTACACTTGTTTTTGTGTCTTTGGCATGCAGCTGTGTCCATTGAGGTTATCACTGAATGATTCCATGGACAGAAGGACTTAATTGTGCTGCCATGGAAAGCAGATGATTATATTCTGCAAAATTTGGTGGTCAATTTAGATTGACATGTTATAAAGGATTAATGCTAAATAATATATAATAAAATGGGGATAATGTGTTATATTATGGCAGATTATCAGGAAATTTTCCTGCTCCGGCAGTTTTGGACTTAATATTTTATTTTGAAGTTAACTGCAAACATAAAGCGAGCAATTGAATTACCAAAAAAATGTTGAATTATAAATTTAAAAAAAAGACAAATCCTAAGTGCATTTTTTAAAACCAACCTCTGTAGGTTAACCTTTTCTCTAGACTGCAGACAAGTTTAAAAAAGGCTTTTAAATGCTCTGGTGGAAATTTAAGCACAACCTCAGACTTAACAAAGCAGGCCGGGAGTTGTTAGGCTCCTTAGATGTGTGGGAAACTTGTTGAACGTTTCTTCTTTGAAAATGGAACACTATTAATAATAGTTCCATTGAGCGATCTTGCCATCTGTGAGACATTAACCCAAAGACCCTCCTTCTCTTTTCAGGCTGGACAATTTGCTTAATATGGCCTATGGCGTAAAGAGGTAATTAGAATTCCACAGATTGCCAGATGTCCGTGTTGGCACAGATTGGTGCTACAATTTATTTTTTTTTAATTCACTAACTTTATTTTTTTTATCCCTTCTTTTCTTCCACCAGCATGTCAAATTCTTTTTAAGTTTGGACTTCAGTTGGTTTTGTTACTTTAAAGGCCTCACACGCGAGTTCTGTGGGGTTTTTCAACCTTTTTTATTTACAGGTGGGCTTCTCAAATGGTTTAGGTGCCACAGCTACAAGCACTGAAATTGCACTTGCTCTGCTAACTGGTGCTTTTTCCAGAACCAAAACTATTGAGTTTTTAACAAATCTCTGATCTGATAATGGAAAATTTAAGTCAAAAATCAGAATTAGGTTGCTGTTGTCTCTCACAATTAAGACTACTTTTCTCCCATATCTGACACCATAAGTTTGACTTGAAAATACAGCTGTGTGCACCTCAATCAGCCCAAAGTTTCTTTTGTTACAGGTTTAATACTTTGAATTTTTTTTCAGTCCTTGAATTTTTTTTTTTTGTTTAAAATAGCTGTGTGTTTGTATGTGCACGCATGTATGAAAGCTCAGCTGATCTGTCAACATTTCTGCTGTTCCATGAGTATGTTTGGTAGCTAAAATGAGATTATGTGTTGTTAGTGGTTTTTTTAATGGCAACATCAGAGTAAGCAATCCTTGCAACAAACAAAGATGTAGTCTTATTCCTGATGTTACTCTAAGATGTCCAGATTAAGATGAGAAAGTACTACTTAATCTTCTGAAATGGTCTACTCGCCACACTTGAAAATTACTTGAGTTTTTGTTTGAAGCTCATCCTCTAAAAGGTATGGTAAGTATGTCTTTAGTAGCAGACAGTAAGGTGGGGTTTAACCCCTCAGTAACTCAGCACAGATCTGAACTCTTGAGTATGCACAAGAGCAAGTCCAAACTAGAGCTTCTCCCCAGCAGCACCAGTGCTGGTGTTCATGGGCACGTTGGTTGTGTTGGGACACCCTTAGTGCTGATGGGGATACAGTGAGTCAGACCCCCTGCCTGATTTTATCACACACCCCGTCTCCTGTGTTCTCCCACCCTATTTGTTCCCTGATATCTTGTCAGAAACAGGGAAACGCTCCCAGGTGAGTGTCTGTCCAGGTGCAAGTCAGTGTCAGAAGGGTGGATTTGTTCTGGGAGGTTTCCTTGGGTCTTTGCTGCTGCTGCTGCTCCTTTGCTGGAATTTGGGCTGGCATGGGGTGCAGGATAGGCTTAGCCTGAACAGAGGAAAAGAGCAATTACCTGCCTTTATGGGTTATACATCTGCTTTCTCAACACTGTCTGCAGTGTTACTCTAAAAACACAGCAGTGTTCAAAGTCATTTTGCAGGCATCTTAAATTAGTTCTTATCTCCTCTCAGCAAACCTTGGCAATTGTACCTGCACTAGCAAAACCTGAATTTATAGGTGCAGGGTCACAAAAAATACCACACTGGTAATTTCTGAAGCTGCTTCAGAAACAGGAGATTGGCTCTCCCTGTTCTAACTGTGTGGTACTGATGGAAAATGAGACATGCTGATGTGGAAAAAAGGTTTTATTGAGGCTAATTTCAGATTGCTTGCTAGAAGCAAAGCTCCTTATGCGATAGGTGATCTTGTATTTGTGTCATACACTTGCACCAGTTTCGTGCATGTTTTGTTGGATTTACAGCAGCTGCTGTGCTCATGGCACATAAATAGTTGAAAGCTGCTCCTAAAGGTTTCCAGGGAAAAGCTGCTCTCCAGTGAACTGTAGGAAACTTTAACCCTTTGCAAAGCCTTACAATGCATTGTGACACGCACAGCTTTGCATTGTGCAGGTTTTACATCATCCTTACTTAGAGCATGGTGTATCCCTCAGTATTGTATTTCACATTAAATTTAAACATTCCAGAAAAGCAGTGTTTGCTGGCTTATGTATGTTACTGGCTCAGTCAGCACTGGCAAGTGATGGACTTGAAGTCCCATCTTCCAGATTTCAAAATGAGCTGAAGCTGTTGGCTTGTACAAGCCCTGGCTGTGCCTTATTTCCTATCCTTATTTCCACCTGCAGTGGAAGGAGCAGTAGAAATTGGCCTTGTCCAGCCTTTCTGTGCTGAACTGTTGTGATAATGTCACTGGTTTCACTGTGCAGGAGAGAAACTAAAATGTGTTGAGATAAGGATTTGCAAAAGTGAAGTTGAGTTGGAAAATTGCCATGGATTTTTAATAGACTGTCTGCAAACCTTCCTGAGGATCTGATGCTGTGAGCATTTGTGAACTGCTCATTTACAGCACAGCTACACCCCAGTGATGATCCTCAGCTTAAGATGTATATTCCGAGTGTCTTCTTTTTCCCTGAATATACATAAAAAGTGCCGTCAGGCGTCAACAGAACAGTGAGCAACCATCAAGTGTGTAGTTCCCTTTATGGTTATTTAATATACACTGCATAATATTGTGCAGATTGCGAAATGTGGAAATTATTCCAAGTGTAAAAAGTTTTGGAGAGCACAAGAACTCGCTCAGCAACAGAGTCTCTCCCTCTGCTCCCTCAATCATCGCTCAGAAAATCCTGAGGAATTATTATTCCATTTTGATATTGAAACTCATCATATTGAAGGTACACGTGAAACTGGATTTTTAAGACGTTTCCTCTGAGCAGTTGTTATTTTAAAACATATCCCAAAGTGTAGCTTCAGAAAGCATGTCAATTTTTTTTCCACCCTGATGAAAGGAAAATTATGTTGATCCTGAGGGCTGATACTGCTTAACATCTTCATTAATAACCTGAGTCATGGGCTGCGCTGCGCCCTCCTCGCATTAGCGGGTGACACCGAATTGGTGAGGAGCAGCGGCTGTCACTGCTGCTGGCCATGGCTGCCACTGGGGAGACCTTGGAAAGCTGCAGGAACACGCTGAGATTTGGGAAAGGCAAATGTAGAGTTGAGCCCCTGACTGCTGCTACAAGGGGCTTTAGAAAAAAAGGTGAAGTCAAGTTTTTTGCAGAGATCAGACGCAGGAGGACGACCATCAGCAGTGACAGGCTGCAGCAGGGGAAATTCCAGTTGAGGATAAGGGGAGCTCATTTTCAGTGAGGATGGAGCCCTGCAGCAGAGGCTGCAGGAGCAGAGTTCCTGTCCTTGGAGATTTCCTAAGCTTCCCTCTGCAGGGCCATGAGCAGCAGATCTCATTTGAGAAGTTTGCCTTGCTTGGAGCAGGAGGCTGATCAGATGATCACCATAGATCCTGCCCAGCTTTTGTTATCCTGTGATGGATCTGTGTTCATAAGCACCTGGCTTTACCTCAAATATCTGAAGACAGCAGATAAAGTCCCAAAGGACAGAGAGGGAGAAATCAGTAGGGTGCTCTATTGAATTCTGGGAGTTAGTCCTTGCACTGACTTTTTGAAGGACCTGAAGCCTGTTGTGGAAATGAAGCCTCACAGTATGAAGGTATCAGTTGATGTGCTCATTAATTATATTTATGTTCTACTTATCCTACAATTGCTACATAAACCTTCTTTCATATGTGGCTGGCTTTAGGATGCTTTATTACCTGGACTTTTTCCCCAGTGTATGTCAATTAAGGACCATGTTAGGAAGACAAATAAAATCTACCACTTAGAGACATCTCTCTAATAGTATTTTTAGCTGAAGAAGCTACCATTACTGCTGAATCCTGACAAAGGCATTTCTTATTAATCTTTAAAATAGGTCTTGAAGTTTGCTTGGGATTTTTCACAGCAGACTAGTAGGAGATGAAGTATTAGATCTCTGTCCTGAAACTTATATCAGTGCTGGAAATAAGTGGCAAATTTTTGCAGGCTCTTTTTACATGAGCTGTTGTTTATCACAGTGTGTGCAGGCCCTCTCTGACTCAGATTGTCCTCAAGCATTTATTTTCTGAGGTCTTTGTACACATCTAAGCAGGGCTCATCCTCGGAGGGAGCTGTATTTATGCCCAGATTTGGCGATTTCATTTAGCACAGCTCCCCTCCGCTTCAGCAGGAGCTAGAGAGGAAGGGTGGCTCTGTGGTCATCTCCCAGGGACGGGATCCAGAACCTTCATTGGCTTACTGACTTTAAAGTCTTGGACCCCTATAGCTCCTGCCAAGAGATGTATTTAGAATAGACCCCTCTTTTTGCTCGGTAGGTTTTCTCCGATCACAATTGATGGTATGACGAGCCTTGTGGGAATGAATATCCCTGGTCACACCGGGACTGGATGGTGCATCTTCGTCTACAACCTGTCTCCTGACTCGGATGAGAGCGTGCTGTGGCAGTTGTTTGGTCCCTTTGGAGCGGTCAATAATGTCAAGGTGATCCGTGATTTCAACACCAACAAGTGCAAGGGATTTGGCTTTGTCACCATGACCAACTACGACGAAGCTGCCATGGCGATTGCCAGCCTTAATGGATACCGTTTAGGAGACAGAGTATTGCAAGTTTCCTTTAAAACCAATAAAACCCACAAATCCTGAATTTCATATCCTTACTTACTAAAATATATATATATAAATATATATACGAACAAAACAAAACAAAAAAAAAAAACTCTTCAAGGCTTATATTCAACCATGGACTTTATAAGCCAGTGTTGCCTAAGTATTAAAACATTGGATATCCTGTGAGGAACAGGAAAGGATTTTATAATGCTTAGAAAAAAAAAAAACCTTTGATGCATTGAATGTTCTTTCATAGCTGTCGTTGTTGAATATAATATACATAGATAACAATGTGCAGGGATTTTTACCCGGCCAGCTAGTTTTACTACCTTCCTTGAAGGTGGGTCTTTTTAAGATGACCATTCACTCATTTGAAAAAATAATAAAACAAAAAACAATTTTTACGAACTAATGGGATTAAAAGCGAGGAAAAAAAAGATTTTTTGTTTTCTTTTCTGTTTTTTCAAAACATTGATTGAATCAGATTGGTAAACCCCCCACGCAAATTAAAGAGGAACAATAAAAATTGCAAAAAGAAGAACATAATTTTGCAACTTTTTTTATTTTTCCTTTTTTCTTTTGTATCATGTGAACTAAACAGTCTTCTGTTAGGGAATGGGGTAACGGGGGATACCTGATGACATAACAATTTAAATAACATTAACAATGTTGCCAAAGAGGTGGTCTCTTTGCTGAAAATGGGTTTCAAGAAAAATCTATTTTTATAAAATATAAAGAATTTTTACAAGAGAATCTGGATTTGAGAAAAAATATTTTGACTGGCTAATTTAGGGGAAATTGACAACTTTGTCATGTTCATACTGCACTGGTAACTTTTTAGAGATCAAGATGTGTGTTTTAAACTGGATTAGTAGATTGTTTTTTGAAGGATGGGCTACAAACAGATGATCTTCGTATCTTTTCATAGCATGTAATAAAAATATTAAATACAGTACGGGAGAGTGTTCTTCCCAGGCACGCAGTTACCCACAGTCAAAACCCAAAAGCAAGGAGATGAGTTGCAAGACGGTTTTTCTTTAAGTCATCAGTATGGGATATCAGCAGAACAAAAGTTAAAAAAATTAATTTTTTGATCAAAAACTTCCTTGGTTTGAGCAGTAGGTGCTACAAAATTATTTACATATCTTAGTATCATAGTTAAATGTAATGTGTTTAGAAAAAAATACATTTGCTTTAAATTTGTTAAGAATTTTCAAATTCACTTTATAGCCCAAGCTAATATAATTGGGCTGTGTTGGCACATTTGGAACACTGTTTATGTTGCTTGAAACACTTATTTATTTAATTGCCGATGTGATGCATATGGCCAAAATCAAATATAGCTAGTTTGGCTAGTCTACTTATTTGTTTACTTAAACTATGGGAAGAAGCATATTATTGTGTCATTTTGTTGTGTGTGTATGTGTATATATAATATAAATATATATATATATAAAGTTATTTTTTCTTTTGGTTAATTTATTATAAGTTGTAACACTTTGCTAGTTTTGTTTGTATATGTCTTAAAATGTTTTCTTATGATACTTAAGTGACAGAGGTATCAAGGTAACTTGTGTAGAAATATTGTTTGATATATTGTCATGTTTGTTGTGAATATTTTTTCTTACTGCACAGTAGAAAAGAAAACAACTGGGTCTTTATTTTAATGTAATTCAGATTGGGGAAAACAGAGCTAAGGGAACAAAATGACTGAGGGGGTGCTCTCCCATGTCCAGTGCACTGATCATTTTAGTATGTTTGTGCTTTGTACGGTTATATATTTAAAACAAAAAAGGGTCATGCTCTTCCCTGAGTACTAGAAACAGTTACTCGCTATGCATAATCTAGTTGATAGTTAAATTTGCTATTGCTTTTCTTGTCTTGTTATATAAAATCTTTTCAATACAAGTTTAGTCTTAATGGTAATAAAACGTTATGGTTATTTATAACTTGTGCTTATTTTGTGCATTTTTTCCATGCTATACCCACTAACTGCATGTAGACTAAGTATTGTTTTTTCACACTGAAGAGGCAAACTTTTGTAGTAGACAAATAACTAAAAGCAAAGGCTGCATCATAATTTTATCAGTTTTTTACTTTAACAATGTTAGATTTTAGTTTAAAGGAACACTCATTCAATGTTCAGGGAAACCTTTATACATCATCTGCTATGAATGAGCGCAGTTTGCTGGGAAAGTTTTGATGCATTTGCTAAGCATTAGTGGGGAAGGCATGTCAGAATCTTTTCTCTACGATGTGTTTTACTATCTGAATAATAATAATAATTTAAAAAATCTTTCTTAGGACCAGGCAGTTGTATACTTTAGTTATAATGAATGACTTCATGTTAACCTTGCTAGTTTAGATCATTTCTGAGGGAAAGTATTGTAAATGTTTTTTTCATAACCTTGTTGTGTTTGAATTATTTGTACTTTAATTGTCCAGACAATAAATGAAAGTGTGTAGAATGGCTATGGACTTTCCACCTTTTTAAGTGTGTTCAGATGTTTTAGTGTTCCCAGCCGCACCTCAGCCGAGGTCGAGGTTTAGTCTCTGATTCCAGAAGCAAGGTCTTCAAGAGAGAAACGTTCTAGTCAAACCAGATTGAGCATATTCATGATTTGTTTTTCCTTCCGAAGGCCAGAAAGAATCGGCCATTTAATTTAAGATGTTGAACACCAAATACCAAACTGTAACTTTCATTTATTTGAATGTGGAAGATGCTGAAGGGTTTCTACTATATACAGTATTTTTACACAATGAAAATATTAACTCAGTCAATATCAACACTTTAAATCATAGTGAGCAAATTTCAGTGATAACAGTTTTTAAGCCATCATTTAGTTTGACTTTTCTATGAATATGCTATGAATGTCATGCAATATGAAACAGTGTACATATTGTCTGATGTACAACAGTATATATGATCACATTCCAAATTTGATTCTTTTCACCATGTGTTATAACTAGAGTTGATACTTCTTTCAGTTGACTTGTTTGAATCTCATTAATACAAATATTCACTTCATGTTTATGTTCTGTAACATTCACTAATTGAGAATATGTACCTTGTAAAACTGCAGCATTGAATTTCGTAACTGAGATTAGGAAACTCTATCAGAGGGCTGGATGGACTGTGTGGTTCTTCAGCTCCTTCACCTATTAATAAACTCGTGTTTTTGTGAGATTAAGTTACCATGTTGGTTATAATAATTAATTTCAAGCCACAGAATGAGTTTGTTCTTAAATTTACAGCTTGCTTAATTCATCCTTAAATCCACCTCACCATGCCATAGTAAAAAGCAGAAGTGGTTAATTTGGTCTGTTTAAAGACTTGGCTCTGAAAAACATCATCCTTCCATCTGCCTATATATGTATAGACCCATATTTTGATCATATACATATATATACACTTTACCACATACATCAGCCCATTTAAAAGAAAACCCTGCACTTTCCATTTAAGAAAGTGCTATTTTATAACCAGCACTATTTACTATGGTTCTAGCTGCTTTATAGCATTTATTAGGGTTGTCACCTAATTTTTCTGCTGTCCTTTCTTCAGAAAGTAGCGAGACCAAAATCACAGCATGGTCTGGGTGCTCTTAAGACAGAACACAACTGGCACTGGGGCCAGTTTTGGTTATCTCCACCCTTCCACTTACGGGTTGGCTCCTTGTCTTTACATCTCATATGGACCCTGTTTCCCCATGCAGCAGCTTGGTGAGCTCCTGTGAGCTGAAGCACACCAGTAACATGAGGGAAAGGACTCTGCTGGCTTTAGGGACCTGGGATGCAAAATTCAGTCCCCATTTTGAGGGTATCACAAATGGGAACAGGCTAAAAACAGTCTGAGACAGGTTGCCCATGCTGCTCCTGTGGGAGCATTTTGAGAAAGTTTTACTGAAACACAGTTTCTGCCCAGCTGGGATCAGAACCACATTTCACTAACACACATTCAAAGTAATCAAGGTTTATATTTCCTTCTTGAAAGGGTAATCACTCTTTCTGCAATTAGTGAGCCTGCTGCATAAATGGAAAACCACCTGGGGGAGGGTGTTTGAAGTGCACTCACTTTGTGTTCCACTTCAGCTTACCTTAGACACGGAGCTGGGCTTGGAATGCACTGAGAGGGGAGTTGTGTTGGGAAATAACAGCTGACAGCTCCAAGGGAGCAGTGAGCTACCCTTACACTCACACTGAGGCCATTCAGCTTTCCTGGAGCCCCTGAGCTTGTAGCAGTTGCTCTGGTGTTCCTCCTTTCCAGTGGGATGGGGGGTCTGGATGCACTGCATCAGGCAGCTGCCTGGGCACTTGGATCAGCTTCAGAATCACTGAGGGGACAGGGATACCCAGGGCTGTTTCAGGGAAGCCTTTCTCCATCACCAGGAGCCAGGCAAGGTTGTTGCCTTGCACGTCTCACTTGCATGGCTAGAGAGAGGTGAGGTCAGAGTGTGGTGACAGCAAAGATTTGCTCTCTGCCCTGGAGATCTTGCAGACTGAGCTCCCTGCACAGAAGTAATTCATTGTGCATACAGAGCAAAATGAAAAGAGATCAAATCCAGCATAACTTCGCAAAAGCTCTGACATCTCAGACTAATGCAGTATCTCTCTTCTAAAAATACCTGACTTCCTAAACCCAGGAGATGGGATGGAGCCGCTCCAGCTGAGCCTCAGTAGCTCACAAGGGACACATCACCTGGGCACAAACAGGGACTGCTGCAGGAGGGAAACACGAGGCACCAGGAGCACACACAGACACAAATCCTGTGGGATGCAGCACCAGGGTATTGCTGCAGTGCAGCTCCATGCTCAGTGCAGTGCCTTCATCCCAGGTGCTTTGGGGGTACCTTCAGTGCCAGGGGAGTGAGTGGTGGTGCTGGTGCAGGAGGCACTTCTGGGGTGTCTCCAAGAAACACGGTGTGCCACTGGTGTGCTTGAGAAATTCCAGTGGGATCATGTGCAGTACAGCACCAGGGTGATCAGGAGAACAGACACAAGAGTCACCAAGCTTGAAGTGTTTCTACCTCCTATAAACACAAAACCTGTGTTTTAAAAAGCCTGTTCCTGTAAATCTGCCAGAGATGAACATTAGAAAGGGCAGTAAGAAGGAAAGTGCCCAAAAGGGGGGCTCATACAAAGGGTAATTTAACTTGCCCATAGTTAAAGACAAGAAATATGACTGGTTCTTCCAGATTAACAATTTTCTGAAATACTCTTTCTTCTCACAGTAGGAATAACTGGGAAGATGGATGCACACACACACGCAACAGCTGCTTTTCAGACACAGTTGGAAGCTTTGCTTGCCACACTCCTAAGGTATCATATATTTTTAAATGCCAGTCCAGCATATTTTAAAATATTTCATCTAAAATTTCATTGAGATTTTAAATATTACAGAGCTGCAAATTTTTTTCTTGTGCAGTAGCAAAAAAGAAAATCCTAAAACCTCTATTTTAGTCATTCCACATAAACCTCCTGTTTCATATCATTGGGGTTTGGAGCTGTCAGCAAGCGAGATCCAGCTACTGCTGCTTACAGTCGAACACAATCTGAAGCAGGCTCATATTCCCTGTCCCAGAGAGCAAGCAAACCCATGTGCTGAGTGGAGCATTGCTCTGCCAGGAAGTCCAGAAGCTTGTTTTTGTCACCAGAACCACGTGTCTTGTCCCCAAGGCCTCCAGCCGAGCCACCAGCCTCGTGCTGCTGAGTCCCCCGGGCCCTTGTCAGGTGTGACACCCTCGTCCTGCCCTGGCTGATCCTTGGGGTGAGCCCAGCCTTGCTCTGGAGCCTGAAGGACAAAGGGGACAGGATTTACTTCTCTGTCCATCCACCCATGGCACAGGGTACCCTGCACTGGAGACTCTCCCTGCAGGCCATTCTCCTTCCTGGCCCACAGCACCCACTGCATCCCTTAACCAAATTCCCTAAATTCCATTTCTGATAAGCCAGCCACAGTGGCCCAGTAGCCATCACTCAGCAGGAGGAGCAGGTGAACCATCACCTCTGGCCTGATTTTGTCCTCCTGAACACCTGTGACCCTGTCCTAGACAAAGCCACATTTTTGGTGCCACCCAAGGCTGCCCAAGCAGTGGTGCCCTGGGGCTGGTGAGTGCCTGACCTCCCCTGAAATGGTCCCAAGTTCTCTCTCTCCTCCAAGACCCAGACAGGAGCCTGAGATGCTGCAAGGCCAGAGCACTGGTGTTTCATAATGACACAAGAGTTTATCAAATCAGAGGAAACAAAAATCCCCTAAACTCTAAAAATGAATGTAAGCAATGCCATTGAAAGAGCAATAATTTACAAATAAATCCCTGCTAAGGAAAAAACCCTGCCAAAGGAAAAGGGGTTCAGTTTGGAGCCTTGGCTGTGCTGGGGTGTCACTGTGTTTGTCACTGAGTGTGGCTGAACTGCCCCAGAAACCTTCCCAAGCAACATCGAGGCAACCTGGCAGTCCCAAAATACTAAATTTTATTTCGTTTCTTTTAAACTAACACAGTCATTGCCTCCTCAGTCTGAACATCAGGACTGACTAGAGTTGCCACAATCCATTTGTTTTAAAGCAGCACTTGGACTTTTCTTCCTTGCATTTTGTTGGAATTGCACAGGTCCCAGCAAATTGATATGCAAGAATTAGCTTTTTACAAACAATACAATTCTGATTTTAAATCAGCACATGAGACAATTAATTTTGTAAGATAAGGAATCTGTTGCAAATATACAGCAGTACACCCACACATCACCATCTGCTGTGGAGAATTAAATGTACAACTCACAAATTAAATCCTGCAAAGTTGGTGCAAAAAGGTCCTTGCCTTGAATTTAAACAAGGCTGTGGAAACCTGCAAACACATTGCAAAAGATCATGAAAACAATAACAAATTTGTCCATCTGTGAATCAGTTCTAGCAGGGTTGGGGTTTTGTTTTGTTTTTTATATTGGTGCATTTGCAATAAATGTTGCAGCTCACAATGCAAGTTGTACAAACTATATTTGAGCTCTCCTGGTCAGGAAAAGTCACTCTTGGAGGTGCTCCTTACAGGTTCCAGAACTTTACCCCAGGTCTTCTATTCTTACAGTGAAGAAAAACAAAACAAAATAAAACAGAAAACAAAACTCCTTTCATACTCAGTTTATTGAAGAAAAAAAAAAATTGGCAAATCTGGCAATTGTTGTGGATGTTTTATTATTAGATTTATTAACAAACACTGCTCCACTGAAGTGATGAAAAATAAATATCAACAATTACTGCTGCCATGAAAAAATTCTGACAAGCACAAATATCTGCATCCCTTTGACTCCCCTGGAGCCAAGCCTTCATTCTCTGATTTTGCCTCCCATGTTCTTCTAACACACTGCTCTTAATTTTTACACCTGGCAGAACCACCTGAGAGTGAGCCACATTTCCTTATCTGCACTGAGGAGGTGGCTGTGAAACCTTGCTTGCCAAGAAAGGCAGTGAAGCCTCTGGACCTGGACCCACCTCTGAAACCCAGGGCTGGGTGTGAGGAGGAGGCTGGAGCAGTCTGGAAGCCAAACTCTTTGCACCTCTGCCTTTTCCATGTTTGGCTTTGACCCCCAGGTCTGCTGGGCACTCGCTGGCAGCCACGGGCTGTAAATGAGCATGGGACCTGCTCCTCACACTCCCACCAGCTGTGCACCTCAAAAAAAGTTGTCTTTTGCAGCATTAGGATGACCAAAGCTGTGCCAGTGATCTCTGAAATGCAGGTGCCCTTCTCTTTTATTTTTTAATGGGATGCCAGGAAAACACACTGGCATTTTCCCTGTTACAACTTGATGGTACCAATAAAAGAGCTATAAAGGCTGGCTCAAAGCACACACTTCTGCCACCAAGCCCATCAGCATCTGCAGTTCTACCTGCACATCCCCAAACCACAGGGTAGGAAATGCAAGATACAGCATTCCCCTGCTACAGAAAAAAAATGCTCTGGGTTGGTGTTCTCAGGGATTTTAGCAGGGTGGGGTTTTTTTTTTTTGGAAAATGAAAATATTTCCTAAACCTTTTCTGAGATTCATGCTGCTTTAACACACACTTATCCTCTCCCACACCTGGGAAGTGCTCTCAGTACACACACCCCGAGTATAATTTATGCTGAAGGGGCCTGCGACATGTTTAACTCAGATAAAGTGTATCCGTAATTAAGAAATGCAGCATCAAGGTACAACGTGCGGGAAATTTGCGGAAAGGATTCTATCAACGGAACCAACGAATGCTGCCGAAGACTATTTAAAACCACAGCCTAATCAGAATACTACGCCTCTCTATATATTTATATCAATATCAGCCACCCTTTGACATCCCCAGCACTGCTAACACTCTGCCTGCAAGCCGACTTATCGCAGCTGCCTTGGGCACAGTCGCATGCATAAAAAATCAAGTGGCTTGATTAATCAGGGGAAGTTGCTGAATCATGGGCTTGCAGCCCTGCCTGCCTAGCCCTGGCTATCGATGGGAAACTGCCAGCCTGGGACTGGGATTAATCCCTATCAGCTGGTCCACAGACCTGTGTGGCCCTTTGCCAGCATTTTTATGAGAAATAGAATCTTAAATATTTCAGGCCAGAAAAATAGCCCTGGCAAAGGGGTGGGAGTGTGTGTACGGGAAGAGACTCCAACCATGAGTGGCAAAAGGGAAGCAGAGCTCAGGAGAAGTGTGAGGAAAGCTGTGAGCAACAAAATCCTGACTCCACCTGGTAGCACAGCCAGAGGCAGCAGCTGCAGGTGTATCCCAGCTCGAGCAGCCCTGTCTGAAATTCAGCAGCCCCACCAAGGGAAGAGCAGGAAAAAGTGAGGGATGTATGATAAGAGTGGGGATGGAAAGCAAGGGCAGCCAGGCTGTAGCACCAGTGCAACCATACCAGGAAAATGGGAGCACTTCTGGGTCTCCTGGGCATGAGCCACCTCGCCTTGGGCTTTCAGAAGTTAGAGAGGCTGGGGAAAACAAATTTTTCCTTAATGTATAAAGAGCAATTTGTCCAGAAGTAAAAAAGATAAACGTCTGGGGGATGTGTTTTATTTGACACTCCTTGTGGAGGCTCCTGTCAAGCTTACCCTGCCCGGTGTCTAGCAAGCTTCACCTGCTCTCAGGACGGCTGGAGGCTTTGGGAGAAGGAGCTTCCTTTCTGTGCCAGCCTGTGTCTGGGAAAAAAAAAAAAAAACAAAACCTTGGAAACAATTCACTAAGCCCCACAGGGACCATGTGCAGCAGCCCTGCTGTCTGGCCATGTGCCTCAGATGGGAATGGTGCTTTTTGTCTTGGAGTTCAAACCCTCCCATCCAAAGACACTATCTTTTCATTGGATCTTCAGGTGAGACAGCCACTGCTCCTCTGAAGGACCCTGCCCCAGCTGCTTTCTGCTCAGAAATCAAGAAACTTTTTGTTTAAAGAAATACATTTGCCAAATCTTTACTGCCAGGCAGCTGGTCGAGGCTTTTGCTTTGCTTTTTCAGAGGGAAAGTTAAGTGTCCTTGAATGAGTGTCTGGAATAAAAGGAAAAGGAGGGCAAGCACCCTTTGTGCCAAACCTCTTATGCTTCCTCCAGTGTGACTCTGCTGCACTTGTGAATAATCATATTAACATATATTAGAGGCGTTGTGTGCCAGTAATGGAAGAGATTGTGAAACCACAGTACCTTATCTATTAAAATAGCCAGAGCAATAATATCATGTCAGCTAAATTTAAAAGCAGAGAAGACATCAGTCGGGTTGATCACTGCCTAAACCCAGGGTATCTTTGGCTACACACATATATATTTCAATATGAACTGACTCTGTGTGTATTTTCAATATTAAGAGATAAAATACTGCTCTTTGCCATGTTATAAACTAAGTTTGTGCAATGAAACAGATTTTTAAAGCTAAGTTAAAACCTCTTGAGACTAAGAGGTTTATAATGGAAATGCTGACAGACTCTTAACTGGAGCACTGGGATCTCTCTTTCTATTATGACCAGATAAACCAACAAGGTAATTCAATGTAGTGTTCCAGCTCCAAGACACTAACACACTCCTTCTGGTCCCAGGTGCTGAGGGGAAGTTAAATATAAAACTTAATGAAACTGCTGTGACTGACTGCAGGGCTGGCTGGTTGCCCCTGCACCAGGGAAAGGTGAATTTCCCTCCTGGGAAGGTGTCTGAAAGGCAGGCAGTGACCGGCTGGTTCAAGTGCAAGCTCTGGCTGGAGCCTTCTAAACTTCCCAGAAGTGAAATGGCTTTCTGCAGCCTAATGGGTGGCTAAAGTTGGAAAGCTGTGAGAATCAAACCCAGTCTCTGCACACACACCAGACCAGGGATTGACTGGAAACACTGAGCAGGTCCAACACTCCCCACACACCACACGAGGTTGCTGGGGGCAGGATCTCTGCTCACAGGGGATGGGGGACACAGACCTGCCCTCCCTCCCTGCAAAATTGCCCCAGAAGCCTTCAGTTTAGCAACTCAAATGCCAGGGAATCCAGCTCTGCTCTCAAAGCACCAGCTTCAGGGAAGATGAGGCATGGATGGGTGCCACCCCTGGCCCCAGAGGCAGGAGATAGAAGTGGGGTTGTGCTAAACTGGCACAGCAGTTCTCCAGCTTCTGTCCAAATAGATGGCAAAGCTGCCAGCATCAGGAATGCCGTTCATGCCATGCTTTGACACCCAGAAAACTTTTCTACTCCTTTTTGTGCCACTTCTGTTATTACCAAGACTACTGGGAGGTGCACACGCTGCCTCTACCTACACATGAAATCCTGAGCAAACGTCCCGAGGCTGGAGGACTGGTAGCACTGCCTACTGTCAAGACCGTCTGACATTTCCAATTACAAGGCTCTATTTTCAGCTGCTTATAACTGTCATATTTTGACCAGTAACTTGTCATTTTTCCATCCTGGGCATCTGCCGCAGGCTGAATTTTTTTTGAAAGCTTCAGCCAAAACAATATAGCTATTCCCAAGGGCAAGGCCAGGGAACAATGCACTGTTTTGTAATGGTAAAAGAGAAAAAGAACTGACATCCTCTTCTTTAAGATGCACCACGACGCCTCACAGTTTGGATAGGGGAGTAGAAATTTAGTCGATCTGTGACCTTTGTGTTAAGGATGTGCCATTTTGTTACTGCCGTGAAAATCTATGTAAGTGTGGCCAAGTGAAAGCATTTGGAAAAATTCCAACCTGACTTCTTCTGCAAATACTTTTCTTTCATTGAGAAACCTAAAAGCTGTGAGGATCCTGTTCTGCTGGACTCATCTTGCCCTCCAGCTTGTGCAGAAGGGAGTAGCTTCATCTCAAAGGCAAAGAGATGGGGAGAGAAAAGGCAGAACTGGAACAAGGAGGAGATGGAGGCAGAGTGATTTGCACCCACCAGAGCTGCTGGCTTTCCAGGGCTGGGAATGGGATCCAGGATCCTGAGTCTCAGCATCAGGAGGCTGCCAGGAGGTGCTGTGAGATCCCACTGTGCCCGCTCGGAAGCGGCAGCTTTTACAGCTCCGAGCTCGGCGTGGCTTTTCCTGGGCTCACAGCTCACCAGCAGGAACTGCAGCTGGAAGTGCTCCACACTCTGGAAATCAGGTGCCAAAATGAGCAGCAAACATTTAGCAGCCCCATGCAAAACGCTGGGTTAAATGCCCTTCCCAGGCCCACAGAGCTTTTGGCAGGTCCATGCAGGACAGCCTCCCGTGCCCAGCTGCACTGCCACAGCCCTCCCAGCCCCCACAGCACACAGAGCAGGCACCTGTGGGAAAAGCATCCCTGACCCACCTGTGCTCCCAAAGCCATCCTGGGCACCAGCATCTCCTGCAGCCAGGCTGGCACAGGGAACATGTGGCACCAAAACCACACACAAGTGCTGCAGGCAGCTTCTGTTTGTGCATTCCCTAAATTTTTACTCCAGGAATACAATCCTTCATTATGCCCTTTGAATATGGAAATCTAGGAGAGAGAAAATGGAGGGTGCTTTCTTTCTTGAGAGTTGTCTTTGACTGGCACATCCTTCCTTTACAGAAAGCTGATGTTTACTACTGCAATATATTTATTTTGAAAATCAGTTCATCTGCTGTAAGAAATTACTCAGACCATTAATTTTGGAAGCCAATGCTGAGAGATCATGAATGTTAAGAATTCTAATTATGTTTGGTCTGGAAAATTTAATGAATAAAAGAGACTTTCCATAAGAATCTCAAGCCATAATATTTTAATGCTATTGGCATTAATTAAAATATCTGGAATTTTTAAAGGCGCCCTCTCCTTCTCCCTTTAAATATTTTACTCCTACCATTAGAACAGAAACAGAATTTTGCTAAAGCCACAAAATAAAGTGCTCTCTGTGTCTGATCATCTCATTTATAATCGTGTCATGGCGGGAACAACCTTTCGCTGAAATTTTGTTTATGCTTCAAAAATTTTTCTCCTAATAACATCTTCCCCACCCCCCTTCCCAAGCACTAGCAGGCCTGGATTTGTCTTCTGTGCAGGGCTAGGGAGATAAAAGTCCAGATGATTTGGCATCCTACAAGGGACTGAACTCTCAGTGCCTGATTAATGATACTATCCATCTCAGAAGGTAGTGATTCCCTCCTTTAGAGCTTAGGGGCGAAAAACAGCCTAACCTTTGAATCCATACTTCATCATCTTCCTCTGGCATTTGTGGCTTTCTGCAGGACACAGGGCTCAGTGCTGCCCTGCTCCCCACACCAACCAGCACAGCAAACACCCTGGGAAAGAGGGGGCACCTTCTTCTTTGCAGGCACCCTGGGTTCCCATGGGTTTGGTGCTGTGTCCTGGGTGTTCAGCAAAAGCAAATTTCGAGGGGACAGCCTTGTGCAGTGCTTGTGCTGTGACCAGTGGCAGCAATGCTGAATGCAGAGGTTAGAGACAGCTCTGGCTCTGAGGTCTTGGGAAGTGGGCTCATTCCCTGACTTGAGAGCTCAAATGAGCTCAGAAAGATAAAAGGGTTTTTTTTGTCTCTGATCTTAAGCTCACGGGTTTTTACTTGGATTTTTCTTAGTATCTAAATATACAGTCACTTGCTAGTTAGTAATAGTGGGACCTCACCTTGTTTGATGGTGTTCTCAGTTTTTAGAGTGTCTAATTAAAGGAGGGACACAGGAACTGCCAGTGCTCAGCCATTGAGAAAATGGAGCTACTGGGTTTTCCAGGCAGTGAACATGCCAGGAACTGCCTCAGATGGAACCAGCACTGTGCCATTGCCTGGGCAAGGCAGGGGCAGGTGAATGGAACATTAGGGGTAGTGAAGAAGCTGCCATGACCTCAGGCACATTTAAAAAGGCATTTTCTCTTGAAAAGGCCACAACTGTAGTTGTGAAATTGGAAAAGTGAAAACAGCCAAACAGCATTTTGCAGTGGATTGGGGGAAGCAGTTTCCACAAGAACAGGAAATAACAGAAGGAGGATGTTGAGCTTTATTTCTACCAAATTGGGCACAGCCTCCTCTGTCTCAGAGGTGCTTGGCACACGACAAGGCTGCTCCTGTTGGGACTCTGCACATCATCATTGCAGAGAGGCAGGTCACTGCTTTCTGGCAGCACTTTCTCCTCCACACAAACATGCAGATTCAGCAGGTTGCCAAGCCTGCCTGTGCTTATTTCTGTGCTGGGCACAGCCAGGTGTCATGCAGGTGAGGTTGCACACAGACACACAGGAGGCCCAGAGGGCTTTTATCTATTTTCTCCATGTGGCTGAGAGAGCACTCAAAGGCACCTGCTGATTTTGTATGTTCGGTGCCGCGGAGAGGAAAATCGATGTGGGAAATACAGATGGCTTCGGTGGTACAGGCTATTCCAGCCTGGTCTGATGGAAACACAACTGATTTACTTTTAGTGGCTTAACTTCACTGACCAGTAGATTTTGTTTCATTATTCAAAGGCAAACACTGAAGAGACATGTTGTGAACATGCCTGGTTCTTTCAGGTGGAAAGAGGTGAGAACCATTTGTGTTGAAGCATTTCAGAGACTAGTTTTAGTGACTTCACGTGGTTTCAGGAAGCTTTACTTAAGCTGCCTTTTGCAGGTGTTTTTTTTTTTTTTCCTACACCTTGGGATCCAGGATCATTTCCTTGTTTTTTCAGCACTCCAGTGCTATCAGCCATCCTCAAGTGTTTGTCTCATCACTTTCAAGACTGCACCCCTACCCAGGAAAACAGTGAGGGACAAACTTTCTGCTCTCTGCAGGCTTTTCTCCCAATAAGCTGGAAAATAATGTTTGTTTGGCTCATACTCTTAGCTAGCTGCGGACTCCCCACTGATACCCCCTGCCCTGTCAATTGCTAACTAATCGTGCCTGCAGTAAAAGTAATCCAAACTGGGGAGTTTGCAGGGGCAGAAGGATACATTAAAACAGATTATGCTCTGTGCTCCATTTCTGTCCTCATCCTGCGGGATCACCCTGCCTGGGCTGGGCCCCAGGGCACACCCCCGCTCCCCAAAGTCACCCTGTGGTGTCCCTCCAAAGGGCTGCGAGGCTCATCTCAGAGGGACAGGGCAAATCCAGGCCAGGGGCTGTGTCCCTGCAGGACCTGCTGCCCGGTGATGCTATCAGGGATGCTCTCCAGGGATGCTCAGGGGCAGGAAGCTGCCCAGGAGGCTGCTGCGATGGTTTTTTAGCTTTCTTATCCTTGACACACAGGCAGCAAAGCAGCTCTGAATTTGGTTTGACTGAGGCTTTAAGGGGAGAAAACCCCTACATTATTCAGGTCCTAGGGGGAAAAAAAAAAAATGCACAGTAGTGATGTCCTGGAGCCAATTTGGCCTTGAAACTCAGCGGCTGCCTGGCATCAGGAGATACCCCGGCCTGGAGGGAGGAGCAGGGTTTCTGAAGGCCTTTAGAACAAGCCTGTGGTATTTCACAAAATCATCAACTCACAGAATAGTTTGGGTTAGAAGGGACCTTAGAAATCACCTCGTTCTAGCCCCCTGCCCTGGGCAGGGACACCTTCCACTGTCCCAGGTCGCTCAGAGCCACATCCATCCTGGCCCTGGACACTTCCAGGGATGGCACAGCCACAGCTTCTCTGGGGAACCTGTGCCAGGGCCTCACCACCTCCCAGGGAACAATTTCTATCTAACAGCTAATCTATCCTTGCTCTCTACCACTTTAAAGCCATTCCCCCTTGTGAAAAGCCTCAATCCATATTTACATCCCTTCCCCTGAGAGTAGATTTGTTACAAGGCCTTTATGTCTGTCCCTGTGGGCTTCGTGGCCCCTCTGAAGCCCAGCTCAGGCTCAGCACCTTGCTCCCAACATTGGCTTTCTGGAGATCCTTCTGCACAGAGTAACAAATCCAGTCCTGTTACACCCATGAGCTTAATTCAGCCACCTGCAGCTGGGATAGAGCCACTGCTAAGAGCACCTGAGGTGTCCTGTGGGGCCAGGAGGCCCTGGAGCTGGATGCTGAGGGACACGGATGGAATGGAGTCACCTCAGCTGGGCACTGCATCAGCCCCGCTCTGCTCCAGAGAACACTCAGCACATGGCTGGGCCTTGCTGGGCTCCCTCTCCCCACTTTGTTTAATTGTGTGACATTAAAGCTGCCCCTAAGCCAGTAGGACAGGCGTGTGCAGAATGTACCTATTTACCTTGCAGGTTTTTAAATTCAAATGGGTTATGTAAAGCAGCACAGTCTACACAATTTAAATTGGCCTGACTTCTGAAAGCTGCAGGTTCCAGGACCTGAAAGAAAGCCTGCAGCTAGGCTGAGTATCCAAGGGAGGTCCTCTTGGCATACAAAGATCAAGCACAATCTGAAATTCAAACATACCTTTACGCTTAGTTTTTATCTTATTTCAGTTTCACGCAAAATAATGTTGCCCTAGAAATGAAATTTCCCCATATGTCTGGCACAGCTCCACAATGGCCATTTAGTGGAGCAGTAAAGCAAAGCACCAGGTACTTGACAGCTCTTTTTGTGTCACTCCCACCATGCCTTCTAATTCCAGAGAGCTACTGCCATGTACTCCAACAGGGTTCCTTTGCTTTCCTGAAGCAGTTACATGACTTAAGAGTTTGGTCATCTTTCCTGCTAATAGGAATTGAGGAATTGTACATAGGAAGAGCACACAGGTAGAAAGCCCTGCACATTGAAATCAAGCTTGCTCAGGACATCACTAATATGATCCACACAGCTCTGCAAAAGGAATTTTTATTATTTTCCCAGCTTAACATGCTAGCATTAATATTTCATTACTAGATTTCACTATGATTTTGGTCCTGTTACTGTCTCAACCAATTTATTGCTTGAGAAAGTTATTTTTAATCTTCAGCAGTAACTGAGAATATACCCTCAGAAAACCTTTCCCAATGTGGAATTTCTTTGCTGTTTCATTATAACTGAGGTGATGCTGTACCCAACAGCTCTTTATGAGAACAAAATATATTTTAAGAGAAGAGGGAGGTTTATCAGTTTCTAGCTGAAAGTTGGTATTGCCCACTTGTATTATAGAATACAAATGAGGAGAATGAGCTAAAAAGATGGGATTTGATACAGAAAGGCTGGGTTTAGCACAGAGCACTCAGGCCACTGACTTCTGAGGTGCTACAGCACTGGTGCTCCAGCAGTTTCCCTTTAAAAAATGAAGGCATTTATTTGGGTTCTGATTCAAATAAGGTCGAGGATGTAAAAGCACAGGCAGTGTTAGGCCAGGTTTGTTCCTCTCTAGGTTTGGGATTTAGGGCCATGTCTCAGAGACAGTCCTGGCAGCCAGAGAATGAGAAAGGACCAAAGACTGCACAGAGAGTCTGGTCTTGACCCCATCTCCCATCAGCCTCGAGGCACCAGAACAGGGTTTAGCACACAGGCTGTGCACTGACTGTAAGAGGAAAAAAACAGGTCTCAAAAAAAGGTCTCTCAAAATCTGCTTCAGAGTTACAAAATGTTTCTCGGTGTCAAACACAAGCAATTAGTGTTATTTATTCATCCCCTTAAAACATCTCACTCCCCAGTTCCAATTCCCTCCAGCCAGGTACTGCCAGTGATATTGCACCTCCCCTTCATTCCAGCCTGATGGATTTAGGACAGGATGTGCCATTTTGGTCCCTTATCCTACCCTGGGGAGTCTGCTCTCTTTGCTTTGTGGACAACTTCTTTGTCCTAAGTGCAGGGTTATTTTCCCAACTGCTGTG